CTTCACCACTTAAAGTTGGGAGTCCAGATTTCAATCTAGACACAAGTGGTCGATTGCGATCGCTACCGTGGTTGGTCACCACTAGCACCTATTGCGGTCCCCTAAGGCTTTTGTCTTTTTTATCTTATTTTAGAGTATTTTAAAATTTTTAATTCTATACAGATGGGATAGTTTTTATCTCACTCTCGGTGCCTGAATAAGTAATCGGAGATATTATCAGGACTTATTCCAGTCCGGATGCGCCTCCGAATGTTGGATAGGATAACTCTAATTCTATCCGACTCTTCATCTGGGCGACAAAATACAACCTTACTATTTACCATCACATAAAGAGTTAACTATCATTTAACCCCGAAAACATTATGAACATTCGTATCGAAACTTCGACGAAACACTTGTTAAGATTTAAGAAACAAACTGATGATCCTTCTTGTCCCTTAAAACTCTTTTAGGCCATGGTCGTCCGATTATGAGAAGTAGTGTATGGCACCAAAAGAGGACAATAGGAATAATAAAATAAATATGAAAATGACGTGGGAGATTAATCCAGAAAAAGAAAAAGAATTCCCGTATAAAATCGACAGGTGGAGGGTCACATGGCCCGTTCACCCTATTTTGGTTCGAATAGTGGGGCAGACCATGCATAATGTATCTTACCTAATAAAGGAAAAGAAACACTTAAATGACTCGAAAGTCTAAACACGGTCCACAAACGTTAAAGAGAGATATCAATTCACGCTTTTAGGACCTCCAATCTTATGGGATCCGCTATGCTCTGTGTCATCAATTTCCGAATTCTAAAATTCGAAAACTTAGAAAAAGTAATATGCGTGTGCGCGTGTGTTTTTTTTTTTTTTTTTTTTGCAATTACTTTATAGAAAACGATTTGCTTTGTCCGCGTCATTAGAGGAGTAAGACAACGATTTAAAAAAAAAGCCGATTTGATTAATCTTTCTAGCGTGTATGGACAGAAGTAACAAATTAAGTGCTTTGACATTGACAATGGAACCCGATGAACACATTCCATCGTACCATAATTTGTGGTTGACGTGCACGAAGGAGAGGCTCGAAAGTTCCTCCTTGCTTTCGATTCCTTCCTTCCCCTCTTTGTCAATTCATTGCGTGTGAGAGAGAGAGAGACGTATTTATCAATCGCCATGCCTCGTGATTCCGACAACTTAATACTCGAATAGGCGCTTTGTATTCCTTTTACTAAACGTCGATTATTTTAATTTAATTATTTGCTTTTCAATTGCTATGAATTCTCTTTTATTTCGATAATCCCACACCCATTGGCTTAAAGTTAGACAAGCACCTAAAGATCACGAGATATAGGGCTATTACCATAAAATGCTCACTGTGGCATAAGTATCCAAAACTTTTTTTAGCTTCACTGAAAATCTTAAACTAACCCATTGTGATACAAATGTCCCAAACTTCTTTTGTCGTGAAAAACCCTGAACTTATAACAGTGCGACATATATACCATGGATGAAACTGTAATAGAGGGTATATATGTCAAATAAGTATAAGTTAGATTTTTTCTTGATATGAAAAAAAGTTGAAGTATTTGTGTCATAATGAGTATAGTTTGATGAATTTTTTTATGGTACTTGTCCAGAGATATGTCGGATAGGAGGAGACGAATTTCGTTTTCCATTATTTTAGGACCGTATTCTTAGTCTCTTACATATCCTATTACGAGGAAGAGATGTATAATTAGCTAGGAATTTTGTAAGATTTAGTTGGTCCGACTTTTGAGATGCAATAATGGAGGCAGGGCATGCTGCGTGCCGTCACTGACGGCGTTAATAACTGAATTGGTCGCCTTTGATTTGGTCCACCGTTAAAACACGAGCATCGTGTCGGGACGAATGCCTAGCCAATCGTTAGCTGCCATGTGTCCCTCGATTCGGAGTTGTCAGCTCAAACCTAATATCGCTAGTGGAAGTCGTGACGGATCGGGTCCCCACACGGCTTTCGATTCAATGGGTATGAGTCAATATGGGTGGGGGCTTCAGCTGGTCGTATCCAATCCTTTCTTGGAACCCAACTTGTGGATTTTAATAATGTTTTATTTGATTTGAGGATTTGGTATAATTATTTACCAAATATGCTCATCAACGAAGTGATTCGAATCCGAGAATCCGACATCTACTAACTCTAGCGTCCTTGTTGAATTCTTGAAAATCACAATAACTAAGAATTCGGAACCTAAAATCAGAGTGCGACTTGGAATCAGAGTGCGGCGCGTGTCAATCTAACACATAGTTGATTATATACAATTCTTGGATGTGGTGGTGGAAATTCAACGGAGAAAATTCTAGAAACTTTGTAGGTTTTCTCTTAGGCTTAGCTATCACGATAGTGATAGATCGTTTTGACTTTGATAAGTCTGGAAGTTCCTCATTTTCGTTGGCTACTTGTGCTGGGGACGTGGCGTTGATTTGTCAGTTATCATCTACCCAAATATGTCTCGTGCATTGCTTTTTGACTTCTGGATTAGCTTGATGTTCCGATCGGACGGAACCCGACGACCTCATCGGACTAATCTTCCTCCATAGATTGCAAACCACATTTTCTGCAGACAAATCGGCCATGATTAGCGTACTAGCTTTTCCATCACATGCAGTGCACATCGTTATTGGAAATCGCCCCTCAATAGACTTCCCATCAACTAAATCTTCAATGCTAGAGCTTTACGAAATACTATAATGAATACGGCATGTATAGTATTAAATGAATTGGTAAAAGAAGTGTCGTAGAAGGGGGGGTTGAGTTTTGTGGTTGCGCCGCGTGGCATGATCGTTTACATCCTTTGGACCCACGTTTGCCAATTTATATTCTAGTAACTACATCCGCTTACATCATTTGTTGAAACTGATTGAAAATTGAAGACGTCAATTGTGACTTCTTAAAAAAAAAGTGAAGATGTGAAGTGAAGTTTCGCAATGTATATTGCCATTATGGTTTCTATGGGCTAATTTTTCTTTTGACATGACTATAATTACTATCGAATGCAGAATCGATGCGTGAACATGATAGCCCATCTCTTCAATGCGCCCCTCGGGGATTCGGAAACTGCGGTCGGAGTAGGCACGGTGGGCTCGTCGGAGGCAATCATGCTGGCGGGGCTCGCTTTCAAGAGGAAGTGGCAGAACAAGAGGAAAGCCGAGGGCAAACCCTACGACAAGCCCAACATCGTCACCGGTGCTAATGTTCAGGTACTATTCATTACTACATAGCTTGTGACCTTTATATTGTGTCACCAGAGGTACTAATTCATAATCCAAACTTAAAAAATAGTTAAATTCAATATTTGGAGAAACAATCTCCTAGCTTTGTTGATATTTGAAAATCGATTTCCCTCCAAGTTTAAAGTAATAAGAAGGCGAAACTCTCAATCGACATTGTTCTAGTATCCTAACTTGTGATGAATTACAATATGAAGGTATGCTGGGAGAAATTTGCGAGGTACTTTGAAGTGGAGCTGAAGGAGGTGAAACTGAGGGACGGGTACTACGTGATGGACCCAACCAAGGCTGTCGAGATGGTCGACGAGAACACCATCTGCGTCGCCGCGATCCTCGGCTCCACCCTCAACGGCGAGTTCGAGGACGTCAAGCTCTTGAACGACCTCCTGACCGAAAAGAACAAGCAAACCGGGTAAAAACACGCCCGCAAAAGAGCTCACGCTTGTGCCAAATTGCACTCGATTTTGTAAGTCGAGAGATGTTCATCGTTTCGAATTTGGCAGATGGGACACTCCGATCCATGTGGATGCAGCGAGCGGAGGGTTCATCGCACCATTCTTGTACCCGGAGCTGGAGTGGGATTTCAGGTTGCCATTGGTGAAGAGCATCAACGTGAGCGGGCACAAGTATGGGCTGGTATATGCAGGAATTGGGTGGGTCATCTGGAGAAGCAAAGAGGACTTGCCTGAAGAGCTCATTTTCCACATCAACTATCTGGGGGCTGATCAACCCACCTTCACCCTCAACTTCTCCAAGGGTATTTTGATTTCTCGTTTCCTTTTTAGCTTCCCAATTCACGATTGACCCTAGATTGTGCTTATACACTGTGATTTGATTCGAAAACAAATTTTTTTGCAGGTTCAAGTCAAGTCATTGCCCAGTACTACCAGCTCATTCGGTTGGGTTATGAGGTAAGTTGGTAACAAGCGTGAGCTAGAAGATGTTATTGAAGAGAGTCTTGTTGTTTAGGATTTTGGTAGTCACTGTCACAGTATTGTTCATGACATCAATGTTGATTCGCCAGGGTTATAGGAACATCATGGAGAACTGTAGGGAAAACGCCATGGTGCTGAAAGAAGGATTGGAGAAGTCGGGGCGCTTCAACATCATCTCCAAGGATGACGGGGTGCCCCTCGTTGCCTTCTCCCTCAAGGACAACAGCCGCCACAGCGAGTTCGAGGTCTCTGACATGCTGAGGCGCTTCGGGTGGATCGTCCCCGCCTACACGATGCCCCCCGACGCGCAGCATGTGACGGTGCTGCGGGTTGTGATAAGAGAAGACTTCTCCCGCACCCTCGCGGAGCGCCTCGTCATCGACATCGAGAAGGTCCTGCACGAGCTCGACTTGCTCCCCTCCAAGATCGATCAGAAGGCCATGGTGGAGGAGAACGCGAAGAACGGAGCCGCGGATACCAGGAAGATCCAGCTGGAGATCACCACCGCGTGGAGGAAGTTCGTGATGGAGAAGAAGAAGATGAACGGTGTCTGTTAGAATCAAATGTGTTGTGATGGTGATTTTTCTTGCCACTAGGCATCGGTTATTTCAGTTTTGAGTGGGTGTGCTGGGTTTATGTAATAGAACATATTTGTGTGCCTCCTCACTATCAAAAGCTTTGATTTGCTTTGAGATATATGGCCTTGTACGTCCGACACAATCTTAGTATTCATGTTTATGCCAAAGTTCGATTCAACGATTTGTATCATCGTATGCATGTGAAGCAAATAGGGAAAGAAAAGAGCGGAAAATGCAATCAAAACACTTTCTTTGTGTTCTCTCTTTGTAATATAAGGATCATAACAGCAAAAACTCACTGCACAGAACCAAGTATCTCAAGTACAAAGCAACGTTTTCACGGTGGATCATCATTACAAAAGCAACTCCTTCAAGCATGGGGAGAAAGAGACAATTAGTGGGCCTTTCAGAATTTGGAAGATGATGCTCCCTTGACCACAGTGACCGGGCATGGTGCGCTTGTCACTACATAATTGCTGACACTGCCAAGCAAAACCCTGCAAAAGAAGAAGAAGAAGAAGAAGGAATTATAAGAAAATGACAGAAATAATTGCTGACAGGTGGAGCATGATTATGAAGAACAATCATTGTTAATCATATCAAATGCCATTAATTAGACAGTTGGAGTGTCATTATAATAATCACTGTCAAAATTGAACCTTTTCCTGTTTGTAGCACTAGAGTGTAGAATGAATCAGCAAAGTGGATTGACAAAATGCGTATTTGCCTGAATTACAGTTGGTTATGATGTTACCTTTTGATGGTGCCCAAGCCTCTGCTCCCAACGACGATAGAATCGAGGTTGAGATCTTCCACTGCATCGCACAGCTTCTCCCTCGGATCGCCCCAGTAAACTTTCGCCACCACTTTTGCCTGCACGCATCCGACATTAATACCGACTTTCATTAGAAAGATCAACCGGAATATTTGCCGCCAGAATTCGTGAACTTTCGTTACAATAACTGTATAATCTGTTTTGTTTACATAAACACCATCGGCCTCATTACACAAAGATTCAGCTATCGTGACCGACCTACCGAACACACCATGCTATCGATGAAGTGAAACTGCTAGAAAAGAAGAGAGAGAGAGAGAGAGAGAGAGAGAGAGAGAGAGAGAGTACCCCCTTAGTCCTAGAAACCGTATCAAGCACATCAAGAAGCTCAGGATCATAAGTCAGTCCATACTGCTTCGAGAAGTTGGTCTCTCTGAATTCCTCAAGAGGAATCAAAGCTGCAAAACCGTCCACACATACCCAACATGTGCATGACCGAACATATTAAACACAAAAGTTTATACTCTTAGGAAAAAAGATTTGGTAATTTATATCAAACAAGTGGAAGGATTCAAGGGAAAATATATCTGAAGCTAATTAGTTACGGGATCCAGTGTCTTCGAATAGCTGCTTCCTGGTATGATCGGATTTGGGAGGCTGAACATGGATCAATATCATCTGGTCACCATCCTCTACGAGGTTCTGGGCCGCCCACCTGAGCGCCGCCTTGCTCGTCGGGGAGTAATCCATTCCGATCCCGACTACTCGCTTCTTCCCCATCTCTCCCTTCCTCTTCTGGCTATTAGGAAAAGCTACAGGAGTGTATAGATTCTTGAAGGCACTAGAACAAGCAGCTGGGTCAGGATTTATATATAGAGGAATCCCTAGATAAAGCTATTCAAAGCTTTATCCCTCGGCAAATAATTCATTTCCCTTATCAAAGAATAAAGGGTTAGGGCACTTGGGAGGAATTAGAGCATAAAGGAGAGGAGGCCACTTTGCAACTAGGGAATTTCAAAATCGCAAGCATACATAATGAAATCAGCGAGAAGCGTGAATTTGGCTTGACCCCATCATATAATTCGAGGTTACATGCGTGTATCTATACAAAGCAAGAATCTCATGATTATCTCTTCGGTTGGGTCATAAGAAAATACAAATTGTGCACTTAAACGAGTGGCTTAAGTCTTGATTATGTCATCAGCTTAGTAATCCTCACGCTCATTGTCATTGATGACAAGGCACAGCCATTTTTGGGAGAACCAGTCAATCCAATTGGATTAGTGTAGGAGAAAAATAGTAAAATCTTGGGAAGCGGAGAAAAATAGCAAAATCTTATGTTGCCTTTTTCAGTTAACTTATCCAACGTCTTGAACTATATTAACAGAAGATACAGATTCTCACAATTTAAAGTAAAACCTAGACGTTGCCATATCACATCAACTTCCTAAGATTCAATACTCCGAATTGATCTAACTTTTAAATACATATGAAAATCCTAATCTCCAAGCTCTGACCCCCCAATCTCTCTTTCCAACCTCCGACCTCCGACCGCTGGCGTTACTGGAATTCTATCTCTCCGATCATCAGCGATGTTGCCTCTCTCTCTCTCTCTCTCTCTCTCTATATGTGTGTGTGTGGACGTGAGTCGTGGATAGCACATCATCATGTGTAACACCTTGATTGCTTTTGTTGACGATCCGCGCTTGAGTTAGACTAAATAATGGGTGGGCTGGTCAGCGTACCACTCCTAAATATCTTTATGTAAGTAAGTCTGCTCTTGCTTTGAAAAATGTTAAGACGAAATTACGCAAAGCTCCCCGAACTTAGGGTTGTGCACATATGTCCCTAAACTTTCAATTATTACACGATATTTCTTGAATTTTTATTTTGGTACAGTTGTTAACTTCCGGTAAATTTTGCGTTAGTATGTGAAATGCACATGACTCTTAAGCTGCGTTTGGTTGTCCAAATACAGATTGTGATATGATAGGATAAGGTAGGATTAGAAATTCTCCAGATTGTCCTTCGGATTGTTAAAAATCCCATCATATATTTGGTAAATGTCCGGATATAACATGGATATAAGGATGTGCTATCCACCACCGCGCCGGTAACCTCCTACAGATGATGGTGATGATAGCCATGACCACCATGCCTAGGTACGACATGGCCTGGTGGCATCCCCTAAATCTAGAACGGTGACCATCATTGAGGTGGTCGCATTCCTAACCATGGTGGCTGTGCTCGTTGAAGGACGGCAACACAACAAGGCAGCTAACACAGATCAACGCAGGCAACAATAAGGATCAAATATCATTCAATTCCTTACACTTCTTGTTTAAGAATAAATTTTGAGATGGAACTTCTTTCTGCAGAATTGCAATGAGCACTTCGTTTTCCTGTTACCTTCCTCGCGTTCATATGATCAAGGATATTCATTTTAAGCTCTAACTTTTTTCCCCATTACATGTTTTCTGATATCATAACGTAATGCATCCTGTCGCAAACATTACAGAAAAAAATAACTTCCAAATTTCTTCTCGATCAATATTTAACCATAGCACCAAGAAACATATTGGTAGACTCAAATGGCAAGAACACCAACCACCGAAATAAATCTGCAGTTTGATTAGACCTTGATTATTTCTTGAGAATCAAACTAAGAAAAAAACCATCAAGCATCTACACTGTAGCAATCGAAACACGTCAAGGATCTAACGTCGAAGTGGACCACATTAGCACAGCATTGGACAGACGAGATCTGGGGCTTGGCCGACCTCAGATTCGAGGTCCAAGGATCGACCTTGTCGGTCAAGCTCGGGCTTGATGAAGATGAGAACGACCGCGGCCTGCTCAGTGAAAATCAATGGTGATGGGCTGTTGTGGAGGCGACGACGATCGGGCTGTGGTCGGAAGTGACAATGATTTCGTGGTGGTGGTCCTCGTGCAACTAGCAAAGCAATATTTAAATGGTCACTTCATTACTCCATCATTGGAAAAAAGGGTATGTTAAGTTATTTGTAAATTTTTTTTTATCCAATTCGGGTTTATCACATCCCCTCCCCTGGATCTCTTATCCAGAGTTTTATCTAGGTACATCCGGTCCGGAGGACATTACAAAACACTGGATAGGATAATTACCACCAAACGCAGCCTGAAAGCACAGATTGACACTTTTATCTCATCTTTCTTTATTCCTTGATTTCTATGAAAAATAAAACGAATGAAATGGAGGACAACAAATAATCTTCATTATTAATATTAGCAAAATAACTGTTAATATAATATAAAAAATACAAGTGTTAAAAATCATGGATACAATAATAGATTTAATAAGATATATTGAGACAAAGAAACACAATTAAGTAAAAGAGGAAAAAAAACCTAGTAATAAAAAGAACAAATAACAAAGTTTATAGAATCATTATGAATTTTTTTTAAGAGGCTAACTTATGCAAAAAAAATGATTAATCGATAAAAAAAATCTTAAAAAATCACCTCACTTTCTAATTCATCTTTTCATTTCTTGAGTTGAGGAAACCATTTCCTTTATACTTTTTTTAAAATGTTTTTATTAATCAATCGTTCTTTACAGTAATTAACCCTTCCCGTCTGTCATTACATTGCACATACTAACAAAAAAGAGAGAGAGTTCACAAGGATATTGTGCAATGGTTAAAAGTGCAAGGACAAATTTGTATTAGCTTCAAAATTTATGGGATTTTATGTAACTTATTAGATAATATAAAAATTTCTTATGAAAGCGAATTATTTTATACCGTCATAACCAAACTAGCTCAAGTCATAGAGGGTTTGTGATCAAGGCAAGTCTCCCTAACTAACTATCCCAAAAGTCATCGCTCCTTATTACTTAAGGTCTCGACCGAACTTAGATGGAGCTGACCTTACTCTGATACCAATTAAACGAGGATGTCACGCCCCATACTCTATGAGCTCGCAACATCTCGCTTGGTCGTTAAGTATGCGACTTCCCAAGACTCGTCGCCGACCCGATACGAACGAACTAAAGAGTAACACACGCGGAAACAACTCGAACTCTCCTTCAAGTATCAAACAAACGGGATAATAAAGAGACAATTGAAACACATCAACGAAACACTTTTATAAACATAGCGTTACTTACAACAGCACAACATACAAGCCTTACTAGAGGCCTCAACTACAAACCACACACATAAAAAAAAGTTAGGTGGTTGGGTTAGCCTAACTTCTCTATCAAAAGGAGTACTCAATAGATGGGAGCACTAAACCTATCAGTTACCCCCATGATGCCTAGGCAGTGTCTCCGGATCGGACTCCAAGTACTCAGGCGAACCCGAATTAGCCATGTCATCAAACGGCTCGAGTTTGGATTCAACAGACTCCGGCTCGGGGTTAGACTCCATAGTCTCCGACTTGGGATTTGAATCTTCAAGAACGGTGTCCGGACTAGTGACAACTCCGTCTGGTGGAATGATCTCCATAGGGTCCCATCCTTCCACTCCGTCATCAGGGGGACCATCAAACCCGCGTAGTGGAACAAACAGTACGTCTCCGTCTCGGTAAAACCAAGCTAAAAAGGTGTAGGGTTTCCAAACGGCCTCGCCCTCGTCTACCCACACAGTACGGGCATGCCTAACATAAACCCTATCTTCTCCCACCGGGTACTTCCGTCAACATATGGTCCATATTCATTGGTACCCCAAAACGTTGCGGAGGACCGTTCAGGTTTATGGTCGGGGGTCTGAAAGGCTTGAATTACAACAATGAGAATAAATCTCAATAAATAAACTTCCTAAGCCTCGCTTAGGGTAACACGTACCTCCAGATCACCTTAAACATGCAATCCTAACTATCATGGTAACTCAATAGCAATAACCTTTCCTTGGCACAACCAACTTGTAATTCAATATAAATGTTCTAACAAACACTCAATGGTATCACCATACCACATGTACTCACTAAACACAAACAAATCATGGCATTGCATAAACATACATTACGATAGTTAATAATCTAGACATGCTCAAATATCACCCTTGAACACAAAGCATTCCCCAATGCAAATAACACTCGCAGTTATCCAGATTATTAATGACCCCTCAAGCCATACCGAACCCCGCCGGTCTTCCGGTCTAGCCAGGCATCGCACCGCTACTTCAGGCGCGGCAACGATTGGAATCGAACAGCCCCCGGTACCCCGGGTACCAAATGGTATTCCAATAAGGAGCATTGATCCAGCCTCCACCACGATCGGCAACGTCTAGAACCCTTGCCTAGACGGCATCCAAACACCCGCCGGGCATCGTCTAGAACTTTCGCCTAGACCGAACTTGTCATGGCCATGCACGCAAACAATCACTCATTGCCAATTTTCATCTTTCTTAATTAGCTAATGCAGAGTGTTTATAACGTGCATTTTCCTACGAACGAATATGTCATGAATCGCACTCATAACCATATCAAACACCATTATCTAGTCACAATTCGTCATGATTCACGAAGACTAGCCATGATTAACCACACGATCCATTATCAAGCCACAAGATCAATGTTTAAACTCTAAGATCAACTTGATCAACCACGATCCATCAACTTCGGCCACACGATTGTCATCACAACCACACGATCAAACATTAATCACTTAATCAGCCACGATTAAACTAATTAATCACATGATCATCAATCACAACCACACGATCAACATTAGTTACACAATCAGCCACATGATTAGCATTTGCACTACATGATCAAACAATTAGGACATTATTAACCATTATAAGCCACACGATTAACTATGATCACATGATCAACCAATCCAAACCACATGATCAACTTATTAAACCACATGATCAACAATCCAACACATGATCAGCCATGATCAAACCATTATAGCCACATGATTATTTATTAGCACAAAATCAATCAATGTAAGCCATACGATTTCCCTAAACACATAATTAGCCACATAAGCCATATGATTAACATTAAACCACATGATTAACCACTAATCAGCCCACAATTAGCCATTAATCAGCTCACAATTAACCAC